AAAGGCCAGGGATGTCTCAGGCGGAAATGGCTGGACAATTTCACGCGCAGCACTCCGGAGCAGAGAGTTGCGAGAGAACGTCGCAAGCGAAACTTGCCAGACCACCCTTCGCGCAACCTCTCTGAACCCCGAGCTGCGACGGGCAGCGTGCGCCGTAGCGCGCGCGCTGCCGCCGCCGAGGCAACAGCCGCCGCCATCATCATCGTCGTGGCGGTCCGTGTCCAATTTTTCCTCATCATCCTCCGCTTCCTCCTCCTCTTCCTCCTCCCTCCTCCCTCCTCTTCCTCCTCCTCCTCCTCCTCCTCCTCCTCCTCTTCCAGCCCCTCCTCGCCCTCCTCCATCCCTCCTTTTTCCGCCGGAACTGAGCCGAAGGGAGAGGAAAGCAGTAGAGAAGGGAGGTTGAAAGAAGAGAAAAAAGGATGACGAGGGGAAACCAATGTGGCGATTGTATCCACAGTGGCTATGGTGTGGCGGTCGCTGAACAGCTCCACGTGCAAGTAAAGTTTCGCGCGGTACGATCGTGGTTCCCGTGGTTGCGACCCCCGAAGTCGTTCCCATGCGGGCGCGCTATTGTGACTGCTGTGGCGGCGCCCCTGACTGGGCCCCCCGTGCGAAGCACGTCGCGTCCGAGGCGCCTTGGTGATCCTCCTGGCATCGGTGTCTGGATCACATCCTGCAGGACACGGTTCGCACGTGGCACAAAGCGGCGATCGTCGGAACGGTGGTATATGAGTTGGTTCCAGCGCGAGGTAGCACGCTCACGGCGCACCATACGACACTGGCTGCGACGATCGTTGGCGCTTCTCCCGCGCGAAGAGGAGGAGAAACATCAGTAGGAAGACAACGAAGAGGACGAGGGGGAGGAGGCAGTTGAGGCTGGACACCCCCTGGACAATCCCCTGGACAACCCCTTCACAACCTCCTGGGCAACCCCATCTTTTCTGTTTTAGCTTATGGTTCGGTCCCCTTTTTTCTGGTTCGCGCTGCTACGTCACGTGGCGTTAGTTTCTCGTCGGCGTTTGTATTTCTCGCGCGTTGTTTCGTCCTCAGTCACTTTCCTCTTCGCGTCGGCCGCGCGCGGCTCCGCCTACTTCGCGCGCAAACGCCCCCCGCAAACGACACTTGGATGCAACGTGTCCTTTGCAACCCACCCGCATCGGGCGCGTGTTGCCGATCGGTATCGGCGGAGAAACGAAGGTGCTGAATTGCCCGCCACCGTCCAAGGATCCACTGGAATCTCGTTGCGCGAGATCTGGGTTCCGCAAGACCATATGCAAACGAATGGCGACCAACTCGCTCGGGCGCGCAACACCCAGAACGACCTGGAACGCCCCAAACTCGATTGGACCGCTGGCATGGCGGGAACCCGAGCATGCAATCCCACGCTCCATTTCCCGTGGGCCTGCGGCCTGTCGGCCTGAGGCAACCGATGCCGCGTGCAAGAAACTTCTCGGAAAGCGCAGTAGACGCGAATGGCCCTTCCGAGCAATCCGAGGTGGGGCTTTTTGACGAGCGGGCAAAAGGCGCAGCGCGCAGCCTCGGGCGCCTGGCAAGGCGTCGGTCAATCATGGGCTGCAGGACCTGCGCGCGACGCTGCGCAGCGAGACATGAAAAATCTGCCGCGCTGCCCCCAGCGATATGCAATTCACTGAGAAGGAATAGTACTTGCCCAACCCATGCTCAGCACTGGCACATTCCGAATTGGGGCGCGACGTGGCCAAGGCAAAGTGCGCCGCAAGCGAGCGGGGCCGGGCACGCGTGGAGTGAGCTTCCTGGCATGCCTCCTGACAGCCCTGGCAGCCCCGCTGGCGAAACTGGCGAGAGGCATCTCGGAACCTAGAGTTGCGAAACATGTATCAAACGAAACTGGCCAGACCACATCACGCGCGGCGTCGCTGATACCATAATTGCGAAGATCGCAGGCAGAACAGGCTGGACCACTTTTCGCGCGAGGCATCTCGGAACCCAGAATTGCGAGGATGTCTCATGCGAAGCTCGTTGGACCACCTCTCGCGCGGCATCTCCGAACCCAGAATTGCGAATATGTTTGTGGCGACACGGGCCAGGCAATCCAGAGGCCGAAGATGCGAGGATGTCTCAGGCGAAACTGGCCGGACCACTGAGATGAAAGCATCTCGGTGCGTAGAATTGCGAGGATGACTCAACCGACGCTGGCCGCGCCCGCTGCATCTCCGAGCCCAGAAACAGGACGACGTCTCAGGCGAAACTGGATCACCTTGTGCGCGGCATGTCGCAGACGAACCTGGCCGGACCACCTCAGGTCAGATCATATCGGAACCCAGAAATGGAGGCTAGAAATGCGAGGACGTCTAAAGCGACACTGGCCGCGCACGCTGCATCTTCGAGCCCAGAAATGCGAGGGCGTCAAGCAAAAATGGGGTCTCTTCGGATGCTAGCAAAGGGTCTCACGGGGGAACCCTGGCGCGTCGGCACGAGGGGGCCCCGCGAAGGGCGACGTGCTTCGGCGCGACCAGCCACCGGAAACGGCGCCGCGCTCGTCGCGAAAAGCCTTCTCGGGGAGGGCAGCTGAGACGAAACATAAAGAGTACCCCAAAAGCGCACTAAATACCCGTCGCCTGTCATGCCCCGCCGCCCTGGCCAAAAGCCAGAGGGAGGGGGGGCCCGTCAGCGTGGCAGCGCGGGCCGCCGCAACTCTTATTCGGACCACAGGGCGGGCCGACAAAGAAAAGCGGGCCAAGAAAGGAACAGGAACGGGCCGGAGAGCGAGGAGCCGAGGAGCGAGGGGAGGAGAGGGAGGGGGGGCGACCGGAAAGGGCAGACCGGGCCGACGGACGGAGGGGCGGAAGGGCGGGGAGGGGGAGCCAAGCAGGGGGAGAGAAAGGGAGAGCACAGCACACACAAGGGCAAGGAAGCAACACAAGGGCGAGGGAGCACAAGGGCACGGGGGGGGAGCACGGGGAGGAGGGAAGAGGAGAGGGGGAGGAACCGAGAGCCGAAGCCAAGGCAAGAGAGAAAGCGGGCCAAGAAGAGCACCCGTGCGACAGGGCGACACAGGTCACGCGGCCGCCAGCCCGCTAGGGCGCGGCTGCGCGGCGTCTCACTCACCGTCCTCGTGCGCCGGCTCGCGCGCGACAGCCGCCGCAGCCGCCGCCCACGCAGCTCGCCCTGCGCGGGCTCTGGCCCGCCGACGCTCGATCCGCGCAGCGCAGCCCCGGGCGAGTAGGATCGCCACGCGCTGGAGCATCTCCCGGCGCACGGTTGACTGCTCCCGCCCCTCCTTCCCGGCTGCCGCTGCTGCGACGGCCCGGAAGGCCGCGTCCGCGCCCTTGCTCATGCCGCCCTGCTGCTCGAGGACAACGGGCCGGAAGGCCAGGCCCTGTGCGCGGCACCTTTCCTCGGTCCGGCCCCGCCTCCGCTTCTCCTCGTCGTAGGTCTCGGACGGGGGCCCGGCGGCCAGTGCGGCGCCCGCCCAATGGCCCGGCCCCAGCGCGTTGATGACCGCGAAGTCAAAGCACACCTTTTCTGCCCGGACCGCACGGCTGCCGTCGGGAAGGTGCGTCGCCAAAGCCAAGTGTGGGATCAGGAGGACGTCGGCTGGCCTGCGCTGGTCTGGTGGCGCCTCTGGGCCCTCCTGCAGCAAGCCTGGGACCTCGGACTGCGGTCGCAGTCCGCCTCGGCACGCGTAGTCGTAGAAGACGTCGCGAATGCCGTTGTGAGTGCCCGTGGTTTCAGGGCCCCCCATGCAGGAGAGGCAGTGGATTCCCTGAGCGTCCAAGGCAACCCCGCACTTAAGGACAGGTGGACCCCGCATCCAAGACATCGACACCGAGCCGGAGCGCGACGTTGTCGGCAAACTGGCTCGCAGTGAGTTGCATGTCAAGTGTCTTGGATGGGGTGAGCTCGTACAAGGCGCCCGCTCCTTGCGCAGAGTACGCGTTCAGCCGCGTTCCGTCTGCCGGCGGCCCTGCGTCTCTCCACGCGACCACCGCTTTCTTCCGGCGCGCGTCCCCGAGGCGTGTCTGGGTCAAGGCATCCCGTGACTCGACTGCGAAGACCTCGGCCCCGCCGGAGGCCGTGATCCTGGACGCCGCGTCCGCCAGCGGGGCACCCGCGACGTCGTCGTCCCACCGGTGGCCTGGCCGGATCGTCGCGCACAGGTCGTGTGTCAGCGCGCGCGAGCCGACGTAGGCCGCATCCATCTCGACAGAGATTTTGCGCAGGCCGAGGCCGCCAGCCGAGGCCTTGAAGGAAGCCTGCTCGCGCTGCCTGTCAGACCAGCGCTGGTTCACAGCAGCAGCTGCCGCCTCGAGCACGCACTCGTCGTAGCGCCGCGCCTCGTCGCCCAGATGCCTGGCCGGCGTGGTGCGCGCCAGATAGTTCACCCGGCCCGCGTTCACGCTGTGTGCCAACAAGTAGTGCGTCACCTGCGGGTCCTGGAGGTCTGCCAGGAACTGGATGATGCTCTGCTGCTTCTGCACCTGCTTCGCGCAGAAGGCCCGGCAGTGCGCGTCGTCGCCCACTGGGGACTTGAGCACCTCGCAGTTCCCATCTGCAAAGACGTCGCACCCTAAGGACACGAACTCTGCGAAGTCAACCGTGCTCCGTTTCCCGGCGGCCGGGATCACCTGCAAGGCGGAGAAGCGAAGGCCTGTCCCTGGCATCACAGCTTTGAGGTGTTTGAGAGCTCGGAGCACCTCTACAGAAGGCCCGGCGATGAGTGCGTCGTCGGCGAAGCCAGGGGCCATGTCGAGAGCGACTGGGGGGTCCAGTACAGGTAGCTGCACTGCCGCGCCGACCGGCACGGGGACCAACCCGAGCGACTCGTTCAACATCCTCTGGACCAGTGCGTGGCATGCCCCGATGAGCGGGCATCCTTGCTGCCCCCCCGACGTGCTGTGAATGGTCCTCCCTCTGTAGAACACCAGAGTGGGTGTCTCTGTGGGGTAGATGTACTCGAGCCACCGCACGAGTCCAGGGGCCATTTCGCGCATCCTGGTCAGAAAGGTGTGTCTGTCCACCTCGTTGTGGGCGTTGGCCTGGTCGCTGTTCAACATGATGCGGTCTACGTCCCCTTTGTACTCGTCACGCCACTGCCGCGCCATGTGCGGCATCACCTCCGCCCCGGCACGGACGCCCACGGCCAGCTGGAGAGGCTGCAGATGAGCCCGGAGCGCGTTGAGCTCCGTGGCCAGCAGCGCCTTGCCTACCACTCTGCGGATGGTCTCCCCAGAGCACACTGGCCTGGCATCATCGCTGCCGTCCTTCGCCGTCTTCCGCAAAGCCGTGCCCCGGGCGCCTCCGAGGTAAGCCCGCAGCTGTTTCGGGGCCCGTCCGTCTGCAAGTAAATTGCAAATGCCCGACAGGATGGCGCAACCCGGTTTGTCGCCCTTCTCCCCCACCACCTGCTTGTAGAAGTCGGGTCTGTGGCCGGATGGGCCTGGCGCCGCGCCTCTGCTGAAGCTCCGGATTGCTGCCGCCACTCCTTCATCAGTCAGTTCGTTGGCCGGCGGCGCCGGCGGGCGTTGAGAGCCGCGCTGAGAGGCTGGCGCGGCCGGGAACTTGGAGCGCATGGTATCTTCCGTCTGCTGCGAGTCTGGTGCCAGTCTTCTGCTCGAAGCGTGTGTCACAGCTTTGCCAGGCAGCCCCCGGCGGGCGAGGGCTATAACCTCTTGTTGCTTCCGCTCTTTTTGCTCTTCCTCGCTTGCTGGCTGGCCGCTCTGCTTTTTGTCCCGGCGCTGCGTGAGCTTTAGGACTTCGTCCCACACTGCCCGACGCTCCCCGTTGGCCCATCGATCAACCATGTTAGCCACGAGGTTCCGGTTCCGCTTCTCTTTCGCTTTCCCTCCTGGGAGCGCTGGCGTGACCGTTTTCGGGAACATAAGCCACTCGGTCCACGCCTGTCGAGCTCGAGCATGTTGTGGCGTGTCATCGCTGGTGCCTGCAACGTCCCACGCGTCCACCCGGGAGTGCATGAGGACGTTGGCGCCGCATTTGTTGAACTCCCGCTCCACGCTGGGCAAAAGGCCGTCCCCGATGAGTTCCCTCGTGGAGACCGGGGCCAGCATGATCTCTTCTAGCGTTGGCAAGTCGTCTGAGGCGTCCTCTTGCACCCCTGGTTGCTGCACAGCTGGCGCTGCCATCGGCTCCCGGCCCAAGCAGTTCCGATGCATGCCTTGGTTGCATCGCGTGCTGCACGATCTGCCACACAGGCGGCACGCCACCATGTTGTAGGAATCCATCCACGGTTGCGGGGGTAGCCCGGGGAGCTGGCCGAGGAGGTGGGCGTCAACGTGCGCCTTCAACCCTTGGAAGAGCCGCCATGGAGGTCGCCGGCCGCCCCTCGACGCCACGCATCCCGGCACTGGGCAGAAATGCTGGGCGGGAGTTGGCTGCGGCGGCGGTGGCACGGGAGCTGCTGCGGCTGCCGGCGCGCCCTGGGCTGCGTCTTCGGCTGCTGGGCCGCCGGCGACCCCTCCTCCTCCTCCTCCTCCTCCTCCTCCTCCTCCTCTTCCTCCTCCTCCTCCTCCTGCGCCTCCTCCTCCGCCTGCGTGTGCGGCAGCAGGGGCTCGCGAGCGGCTGCGAGCGGAACCCTCCTGGGTGGGAGCTGCAGGGCCTGCCGCTGCTGGGCCTGCCGCGGTGGCGGAGCCTGCACCGTCTCTTCCGGTGCCGCCACGTGCTCGGGCACGGCGCAGTTCGTCCAGCGGAGTACCCATGTCTTGCTCCATCCGCGTGTCTTCGGCGAGTTCGAGCCCCTCGAGGTCCTCGATGAGAGCAGCGTCCCCAGCGTTGCGAATAGCCCTCGCGCTCGAAGGGAGGTCGGCGCCATCCCCGGCCGCGAGAGGCGGCACAGACTCCTGCGCGTCCTGCTCGCGTGGCGCGTCCCCGTCTGTGAGGTTGCGCCTAAGCTGTCTTCGGCCAGGGCGCTCGCTCGCGATGTCGATGAAAGTGTTTCTCACGTCGAGTTGAGCGCTCCCCCCGTACGGGTCGTCCCTTGGCGCCCTCTGCTCCCGACTGGGTCCGAACTGACCGGGGAGTCCCGACGGCACGTCCCCAGGGACGCCTTGTAGCGCGCCGCGTCCGCCACCGAGGCTGCGCTGGTCGCCTGGCGCCGGCTGCATCGGCCCTGGGTTGGAAGCTTCCCCGATGACAACACCTCTGAGCCCGTATCGGGCGGATGTGCGGCCCGTACGTGCAGGGCGCACGGCTGTCCGCTCGATGTGGGTCAGGCCCGCAGCGGCCATCTCCCGGGTTGCTTCCGCAGGGACGTGCGATCGCCTGGGAGGCCGAGGTCTGCTGGCCGCACTTCCCCCGTCTCCCCCGGGTCCTCTGGCGGCCGGCGCGTCGGCCACTGCTGCAGCATGGGGGGCTGTTGCTGCCGGGGATGAGGCCGCAGGGAGTTCGGCCCGCGTCTCCTCTGGCGGCTTCTGCACCTCCAAACTTGCCTCCTCGCAACTGCTGCCGATCCTCCTCGTCGACGCTGCCACCGGCCAGGTGCTGCATGGCCGAATCATCCGCCCCCTCCGGCGCCTCCTCTGCCTCCTCATCCTCCTCGATCTTCGCGGATGCAGCGTCCCACCTCTGCCTCCTCTACCTCTTCTGCCACCTCTGCCTCCTCTTCCACCTCTGCCTCCTCTTCCTACTCTGCCTCCTCTGCGGCATGGACAGGTCTTCGGCCGCCTCCTCTGCCTCGTCCTCCTCTGCCTCCGTGAGCGCAGCGTGACACTGCGCCGAGAACGGTCTGGCTGCTGCGACGGCGCGCCGGGTGGATGTCGTAGCGCGTGTCGTCGTCGTTCGTCTTCTCCAGGCACTCCGCTCGGCTGCACGCCAGTGGCCAGCCGCTCCAAAATCGCGCCGTGCTCTTCTAAGGCGTCCTCCCACGCGCCATCCACGCTCCGCTGCGCCGCGCGACGGGCGTACCGCCGCAGGCCCCTGCGGGCGTTGCGGGCCCGCGCGCGGCGCTCCACTGCCGTGAGCAGGCTCAGGTGGAGCGTCCCCGCCTGGTCGGCAGCCCGGAAAGGCACCAGGTGGTCTGGAGTGCCTGGGTCGAGCGGCAGCGTCGTGGCCTCCTCGTCCAAGCAGCCGCTCTCGCCCGGACAGAGCGCAGCATCACGGGGCCCTCGGTGTCCCTGCTGCATAAGAGGCGGCTTTCGCTGCGGCCGCCGCCTCCGCCCCAATACAGTGCGCCACAGGCCTGGAGGAGGGCCAGGGTCGGGAGGATGCAGGACGCCCCCGTCGATGTTCAGTGCTGGGCATTGGTCATCGTCGCGTCCGTGCTGCATGCCTTCCCTTGTGGCCTCCGCCCCCTCGCGCGTCGGCACCCCCTTCTCCTCCTCCTCGCCCTCTCCGCTGAGGCCCCGCGGCGGACCTGGGTCAGGCGGCGGCGGGGGCCTGGGTGTGGGGCCCGCAGGCGGGGCGGGTGCGCGGCAGCCCCATCCCACACCCGGGAAGTGGGGCCCGCAGGCGGGTGCGCGGCAGCCCCGTCCCACCTCCCGCCCCCTATCCGCTCCTTGGGCCTGCGCGTCGCCGGGCCCCTGACTCGCCCGCGCTTGCTCTCGTCCTCTCCCGCCGCTCTGCTCGCCTCCTCGCCCTCCTGCCTTGGAATTGTCGGGGGCCTGGGTGTGGGGCCCGCAGGCGGGTGCGCGGCAGCCCCGTCCCACACCCGGGAAGTGGGGCCCGCAGGCGGGTGCGCGGCAGCCCCGTCCCACCTCCCGCCCCCTATCCGCTCCAGGCCCCTTGCCCCACGGCGCCTGCTCCTCTCGTCCTCTCCCGCCGCTCTGCTCGCCTCCTCGCCCTTTTTGGTGTCTCCCTCCTGCCCGCCCTCCTCCTCGACCTCCTCCTCTACCTCCTCCTCCTCGGGCTCCTCCTCCTCCTCCTCCTCCTCCTCCTCCTCCTCCTCGCGCTCTCGCTTGGCGTCCTCCTGCGGCGCCGTTGCTGCCTCCTGCGACTGCTCCTCCTGTGGGCGCCCCCCGTCGCCCAGGGCGCCCCCCGCGCCCCAGGCGTCGGCGCCCGGTGAAGGGGCCATGGCGGCGCCGCCGCTCGCGGCCCGCGGCCCCGCCCCGCGGCCCGCGGCCCGGCCTTGAGCCAGGGGCCTTGAGCAAAAATGGCCACACCATTTCTCGCGAAGCATCTGACGACGTCTCAGAGGAACGTTCCGGACCGCCTCAGGTCAGGGCATCATTGAGCCCAGATTTACGAGGACGTCTCAGGCGAAACTGGCCGGCCAGAAAAAATCACGCAGCATTTGTTGCAAGAATATATCTGGCGAAACTGGCTGGACCACCTCGCGCGCTGCATCTCCGAGCCCAGGGTTTCTGGAATCGGCCGCTTATCGTCAGAATATCGAAAAACGGGCTCCATATGCATCCAGAGGAGTATCCGGGTCACCTACGCTGTCCTACACCATAGTGTAATAGGCTTCTAAAAAGTCTCGGCCAGCGGGCGCGTTGCACAAACTAAAGCTCCGCGCATTCTGGCCGCCAGCCCCTCAGACAATGCACCAGGATATGAAAAAGACGTGCGCGACGTCAACTCAGAAGACGGCCTGTCCTGAGCACGTCTCGACGCAGGGTTCGCTGACCGTGCTGGCAGCTCTGGCGGAGGAACGGGCAGAACAATGATCGAGAGGAGAAGAGAAGGACGACAGGAAGATGAGGAGAAGGAGGAGGAGGAGGAGGAGGAGAAGCGAGGTGGGCGAGGAAAAACACGGCGAGCAGACGCCAACATGCAGGAGGAGAGGGGGGAGGCACAGGCAGCAGCAGGCAAGCGCGCATGTTGGGGGCGGGCGGGGGGAGGGAGGGGGCAAAGGGCGACGCGTGTCTCCGAGCCCAGAGATGCGGGGACGCTAGCATTTCCGAGACCAAAAATGCGAGAATGTGTCAAGCGAAACTGGCCAGACCACCTCAGTTCAGGGCATCTCCGAGCCCAGAGTTGCGAGGACGTCTCTGGCGAAACTGGCTGGACCAGCGCCGATGTTGGCGGATGTCTCTGAGCGCTGGCCCGTTGGCGTGAAGGAATTTCTACCGCAACAGGACCCCAGTCAGCATAGCTGTGTTGGAGAGCGCGGTAAAGGATGGCGTACGAACGGGAGCGGAAGGGGGACACGAGAGACGTGGAGACGGCGGGAGGGAAAGGGGGAAAGAGAGACGACAATTCCAGCTGGGGTTCCTTGGTCGTGCCACGCGTTTGAAGGTATGTATGATGATGAAGTGTGCACGCGCTGGCAAGACAACGCAGCTTGGACAACCCCTTGGACACCAAACCTCCGTGTGATATTAAGATATACATAATCCGCCTGCTCCTCCTCTTTGCTCCAGCCTCCTCCCCCTCCCCCTCTCCCTCCTCCTCCTCATCCTCCTCCTCATCCTCCTCATCCGCCTCCTCCTCATGCTCATGTTCCTCCTCCGATACTTCCTCCATCCTCCCCCTCTTAGAGTACGACGTCGTACCCAGCCCTTTATAGCATGTTATTCTCCTCCACATCCCTGATCAGGGCAACCCGTCCGCGCATCATTTCTGGATGAACTGGTAGGATTACGCGCAGCGTCAGGAATAAGTCTGACCTGCATTGGCAGATCAGCACCAGGCTCACCCCCGCCAACCGCTGCGTGGGACTGCCCTGACAACACTTCCTAGTGGGCAGCGGCGAGAATTCGCCAGTCGGCGAGCTCGTCGCCTTTTGGAACGAATCTAAATTTCCGGCTTGGATTTTGCTCGTCGACGTGAACGTCCAGATGTCGGCGCCGCTCGTCGCGTAGATGCTGCCCTTGAACCCGCCAAAGCCCACCTGGCAATTGACGCCCCACTTGGGATGCTGCGAGACCATCTTTCGCATGGGGGCGCGCAGCTTGGCGAACACGCGTTGTTTCTCGCGAGCGCCTGCCATCATATCACCTCGGAGACGGAAGGGGGACAGGCGGCCGTTCCTCTGGTGGATCCATACCATCGTCGATGCAGCTGGTTGCACTCGGAATTCCTTTGCCCTCTCGTCGGTGCTGAACAAGACGACGTAGGACCCGGGGAAACGTTGGAACTGACTGACCTTCGGAATCTGCCGCAGTGAAAAGATTACGCTTCAACTTTTCTGGTCTCGGCAACGTGCCGACCCACACCTTCCTCGCAACAGTCGGAGTTGTCGTGATGAACGCTGGGGGCAAAGGCATTCCAACCTGAAGTTGTTTGGAGCCGTATGAATATATTGTCGGGCTCGAAGCTGCCGCAGACAGGATCTCAGCTTTTCGATGCTCTTCACCCTGTTCTGAAGACCCTCGATGAGAGCTTCCTGCTCGTTGGTCCTCGTCACTATCTCGGTGCTGTCCGAATTGGTCGTCGTCCTCAGCGGCTCGACTGTTGAGGCGATCTTGGTGTCCATCGTCCCCACGATTTTAGCCATGAGTGCCCGCATGTCGCCGAGAGTCAGAGGAGCATCGCTGACGGCGGTCTCTCTGCTGGGCGCGAAGGAGCGCGCGAGGTCGGCTCGGGGGAGCTCTGGAAAAACGAACTCTGCATTCCAAAACAACCCAGCGCCACCTTGAGCAAACGGCTTGAACAGAACTGGATACGGATGGAGAAGGATGAGGCGGAGCAGGAGGAAGAGGAGGCGGAGGAGGAGGAGGATGGGGAGGAAGAAGGAGGAATAAGGAGGAGAGAGGAGGAGGAAAAGGAGAAGGGAGGAGGCAGAGAGGTGGCCGACGACGACGACGACCCAGCCGCGGCCGCGGCTGGCGCAGGAGGCCTCGCCCCCAACGCCGCCTGCTCGGGCACCAGCGCCTCGCAAACGGGGGCCTCGCCGGCCGCGACACAGAAGACGAAAGTCGGAGATCGGCGGTCATCGGTCGTCAATCGTCGGTCGGCCGGTTGGTCGGACGGTCGGTCCGCCGTGGTCGGTCGTCGTCGGTGGTCGTCGTCGTCGTCGTCGGTCGTCTGTCGTCAGCGGCGGCGTCGTCGTCGTCGTCGTGACCAGTCGGCGTGGTCCGTCGTCGGCGTCGGTCGACGTCCGTCGTCGTCGTCCGTCGTGGTCCGTTGACGTCGCCGACATCGTCGATGCCGCCGCCGCCGCGGACGCGGCTGTCGCCGCCGCCGCCGCCGCCACCGCCACCGTCGTCGTCGTCGTCGTCGTCGTCGTCGTCGTCGTCGTCGTCGGTCGTCGGTCGTCGTCGTCGGTCGTCGGCGTCGGGGTTGGCGACCTCGTTGTCGTCGTCCGTCTTCGTCGTCGGGCGTCGTCGTCGTTCGTCGACGGTCGTGTGTCGCCGTCGTCGAACGTCGGTCGTTGGCGTCAGCGTCATCGTCGTCCGTCGTGGTCCGTCGGCGTCGTCCGTCGTTGTTGTCGTCGTCGTCCGTCGTCGTTGTGGTCCGTCGTGTTCTGTCGCCGTCGTCGTCCATGGTCGTCGTCGTCAACGGTCGTCGTCGTCGATCGTCGTTTGTTGTCGTCGTCCGCCGTCGGTCGTCGTCGTCGAACGTCGGCGTCGGCGTCGTCCTCGGCAATCGTGGGAACTCGTCGTCGTCCGTCGTCAACGTCGGTGTCGTCGTCGTCCGTCGTCGTCATCGTCCGTCGTGGCCCGTCGACGTCGTCGTCGTCGGTGGTCGGCCGTCGTCGTTGCTGCCGCCGCCACCGCGGCTGTCGCCGCCGCCGCCGTCACCGTCGTCGTCATCGTCGTCGTCGGCGTCGGTCGTCGGCGTCGGTCGTCCTTCGTCGGCGTCGGCGTCGACGTTGGCGGCGTCGTCTGTCGTCGTCCGTCTTTCGTCATCGTGGCTGGTCGTCGTCGTCGGTCGTCGATCGTGGGTCGTCGTCGTCGGTCGTCGGTCGTCGGCGTCGGCGTCGTCGTCGTCGTCCGTCGTGATCCGTCGTCGTCGTCGTCGGTCGTCGTCCGTCGGCGTCGTCGTCCTTGTCTTCGTCGTCGTCGTCGGTCGTCGGTCGTCGGTGGTCGGTCGTCGGCCCAAGGGCGGTGGTCGGTCGGTCGGACGGCTGGTCCGCCGTCGCCGTCGTCGTCGGTCGACGTCGTCGTCGGTCGTCGTCCGTCGGCCGTCCGCGTCGGCGTCGGCGTGGTCGCCGTCGTCGGCGGTCCTCGTTCGTCATCGTCGTCGCCGCCACCGCCGCCGCCACCGCCGCCGCCACCACCACCGCCGCAACCGCCGTTGTTGTGGTCGTCGTCGTCGCCGTCGTCGTGGTCGTCGTCGTCGTCGGGCATCGGCGTCGGCGTCGGTCGTCGGCGTCGGCGTCGGCGTTAGCGTCGTCGTCGTCGTCAGTCGTCGGCCATCGTCGTCGTCGTCGTCGGTCGTCGTCGGTCGTCGTCGTCGGTCGCCGGTCGTCATCGTCGGTCATCGGTCGTCGGTCGTCGGCGTCGGCAGCGTCGTCGTCAGTCGGGATCCGTCGATTTCGTTGGCGTCGTCGTCGTCCGCGGAGGCCCGTCGACGTCGTCCGTCGTCGGCGTCGTCATCGTCTGTCCTCGCCGTCGTCCGTCGGTTCGAGGGCGTCGTCGTCGTCATCGTGGTCGTTGCCGCCGCCGCAGCCCGCGCGGCTGTCGCCGCCGCCGCCGTCGTCGTCTTCGGACGTCGTCGTCGCCACCGCCGTCGTCGTCGTCGTCGTCGTCGGTCGTCGGTCGTCGGCGCCGGCGTCGGCGTCGGCGTTGACGGCGTCGTCGGTCGATCGTCGTCGTCGTCCGTCGTCCGACATCCAAGTCACTCGTCGGTCGTCGGTCGTCGTCGGTCGTTGACGGTCGTCGGTCGTCGTCGTCGGTCGTTGGGCGGCGTCGTCCGTCATCATCCGTCGACGTCGTCGTCGTCGCTGCCGCCGCCAAAGCCGCGGCGGCCGTCGCCACCGCCGCCGCCGCCGTCGTCGTCGTTTCCGTCGTCGTCGTCGATCGTCGGTCGTCGGCGTCGGCGTCGGCGCCGACGTCGGCGGCGTTGTCATCGTCGTCCGTCGTCGTCCGTTGTCGTCGTCGTCAGTCGTCGAACGTCGTCGTCGGGCGTCGGTCGTTGGCGTCGGCGTCAGCGTCGTCGTCGACCCGTCGTGGTCCGTCGACGTCAGCTTCGTCGTCGTCGTCGTCCGTCGTCGCCGTCGCTGTCGACGTCGCCATCGTCGTCGTCGTCGTCGTCGTCCGTCGACGCTGTCTTCGTCGTCCGTCATCGTCGTCGTCGTTCTCGCTGCCGCCGCCGCAGCAACCGCGGCCATCGCAAACGCCGCCACCGCAGCCGTCGTCGACGTCGTCGTCGTTGGCCCTCGTCGGCGTCGTCGGTCATCAGTCGTCGGTCGCCGGCGTCGGCGTCGGTGCTTGCACGGTCGTCGGCGTCGGCGTCGTCGTCGTCAGTCGTGGTCCGTCGTCGTCATCGCCGTCGTCGTCACTGCCGACGCCGCAGCAGAAGCGGTCGTCGCTTCGGCCGCCGCCGCCGCCGCAGTTTTGTCGTCGTCGTCGTCGTCGTTGTCGGTCGTCGGTCGTCGGTCGTCGTCATCGTCGTCGTCGGCGTCCGTCGTCGTTTGTCATCGTCAGTCGTCGTCGTCATCCGTCGTCCGTCGTCGTCGTAATCGTCAGTCGTCGTCGGTCGTCCATCGTCGTCCTCGTCTGTCGTCGTCCGTCGGTTGTCGTCGTCGTCGGTCGTCGGTCGTCGGTCGTCGTCGTCGTCCGTTGTCGTCCGTCGTCGTCGTCGTCTGTCGTCGTCCGTCGGTTGTCGTCGTCGGTCGTTGGCGTCGGGCGTCGGCGTCGTCGTCGTCATCGTCGTGGTCCGTCGGCGTCGTCGTCTTCGCCGCCGCCGCCGCCGCAACGCCACGGCCGGCGCCGCCACCGCCGTCGTCATGGTCGTCGTCGTCGTCGTCGGTCGTCGGGCGTCGGCGTCGGCGCCGGCGTCGTCATGGTCGTCGACGTCGGCGTCGGCCACCTTCGTCCGTCGGCGTTGGCGGCGTCGCCGTCGTCGTCGTTCTTGTCCTTGTCGTCGTCGTCGGTCATCGGTCGTCGGTCGTCGGCCTACGGGCGTGCGTCGGTCGGTCGGTCGGGTGGTCCGTCGTCCTCGTCGTCGTCATCGCGGTCGTCGGCGTCGGCAGTCGTCGGTCATCGGTCGTCGGCGTCGGCGTCGGCGTTGTCGTCGCCGCCATCGTCGTCGGTCCTCGTTCCTCGTCGTAGTCGTCGCCGCCGCCGCAGCCGCCACCACCACCACCGCCGCCGCTGCCGTCGTCGTCCGTCCGTCGTGCATGTCGTCGTCGTGATCGTCGTCGTCGTCATCGTCGTCGGTCGTCGGTCGTCGGCGTCGGCGTCGACATCGTCCATCGTCGTCCGTCGGCGTTGCATCCTCTGTGGTCGTCGGTCGTCTGTCGTCTGTCGTCGGCGTCGGCGTCCTTGTCGTCGTCGTCTTCGTCCTCGTCGTCGTCATCGTCGTCGTCGGGCGTCGGCGTCGGCGTCGGCGTCGGCGTCGGCGTCGGCATCGGCATCGGCGTCGTCGTCGTCGTCCGTCGTCGTCGTCGTCATTGTCGTCGTCCTCCTCCTCCGCTGTTGTCGTCGTCGTCCTCATTGGCATCGTCGTCGGGCGTCGACGTCGTCCCTCCTTCGTTTCCGTCTCCCCTCATTTTTGGGCCGGCCCCCCGTTCTCCATCATCCCGCTTCCCTTCCTCCGCCTCCCCCCGGTCCCCCCGTCCTCCCCCTTCTTCTTCCCTACTCGAGAGGCGATTGTGGCCTCATGCGCACTCGGATCTCGCGGGCAGCCCCGAACACGTCAGAGAGGGACTGCGCGGTAGACACTGAGGACAAGCAACCAGATGGCCAGGAAAGTGGGTACCCCTCGGACCGCTTCAAGAAGAACGCGGGACGAGAGACTCATGACAAAAACTTGAACCCAAAGCAGCAATATGATACACTGATGCGACGACGAGCCCACATTCTGCACTGACAAATGCGTACAAGCACTTGTCATGATGCCTGCGTTCCCGCAAGTTCGTTTCCGATGCGCTTTGTCGCCTAACTTGCCCCACGATGGCCCAAAAAGAGCCCCAGAAAGGAACCTGGGAACCCCCCCCCGACGGCCCCAAGAGCGCCCAAGAGCGCCCAAAGAGGGTCTCACGAGGCGATGTTGACGGGCCCTGACAAGGAACCTAGATAAATGACCCCCCTCTTTTTCATCGGTGGCCGACAAGACCACCCCGAGAGGCCCACGGAGCCCCCAGGATCGCCCAAGAGCGCCCAGAGAGCGTCCTACGGAGGCCCCAAGCGGCGGTTTGTCTCCTCCTCCTCCTCCTCCTCCTAATTACTCCTCCTCCTCCTCCTCCTCCTTCTCCTCTGTTTCCCCCCCCCCCCCCCCCCCCCCCGCGGCCCCAAGGATGGCCCGAAGAGGCCTGCCAAGGCCACACCCTTGCTCTCAGATCTCTCCGTTAATCCTGGCTGCCCGCTTCCACCATCTGGGTCGTTCCAAATGTTTCCGAACGAATTCCGGGTGCTTCTCGTACAACTGCTTCAGCTTGCCCATGAGCCCGATGGCCAGGAGCCACTGGCAGACCTTACGAAGTGATAATATTCCTTGCGCAGGGCGCTCGCCCTGCTCCGTGCCTAAAGAAATGTCTTTCTCGGCGTTGTCGCCTTCGGTTGCCGCCACTAGCTTGGTTCTCGTCTCGGCCTCTGCCTGCCGCCACGCCGATATCAGCGGCTGGCACGGGATGTTTTCGCATGGGCCCATGCCCGCCAGCTGCCTCACGATGGTGCCCTTTGAATCCGCCACGTCGGCGGAAGCCCCCAGCTTGACGATGTGCTTGTCCACGAATCATGTGGCCACTTTCTCAGTGACGTCATCGTCCGCGACGACGTCGT